GAGAGTGTGTGCTGGCATTGTTATGCCATTTTATGCAATTAGTTTACAATGGTCTGAAAATGACAATATTATCGATTATCGTAATAATTTCTGGGGCAATTAATCGGCCAGCTAAATTTGTTATGACAGGCCTATCTATCTATCTATCTATCTATCTATCTATCTATCTATCTATCTATCTATCTGATTAAATAGTAACTTGACAAGCATTTAGCACAAGGCTGGGAGGAAAGCCTTGTGCAGACTCTGGATAGAGATCAAATGTAGCTCGAAACATTTTATCAGGCCACATTTCTGTTTGTCTTCCTTTCTTAGGAGAGACAAAGAGAAAACAAACACCGACAAGATGAGGTCCAAGATAGGAATTTAACTCGAACAGCTCAGTCTAGACTCCACTCTCCAGGAGGCTCTTCACCTTCAAACATGTAAGTAAAACGTCTCATGCATCCATTATGCAGCTAAAAAAAAAAACTCACCGGTTTATAGGAACCAAATAAAAGTGAAGGTGGGTCAGTAATAAAAGTAGTTTGAACAAGTCAAGAGTGAATGAAGCTTCGATGATATAAGATATTTAAACTCCACCATCTCTATTTCCAGCAATTTCTCATCCTGTGATTCACATGTGCACCTCTTCTTTCAATGCTTCCAGCTCCCACCCCCCAATGTCCGTACGCCACTGATAACCTGTTGGACAGCTCATTAGTTTTAAATGGGTTTCAGTCCACTCATTACATGTCCCATTTGGCTTCACTGCATAACACTCAACTTTTCTTAATAAGAGGGATAAAGCAGAGCAGTGGGAGCCGTTTGCAGCGCTGGGAGGGACGTCAAGCAGGTGTAGACAGAACGGCAGTGACAACATGCAGCGCCGACACGAACAGGCGGAACAGAAAGTTATCCGTGTGTGAATGGGTGAATGACAACACATGTCGAAAGGTGACCGGGAACGTGTTCGATAAATTTAAAACTATTTATTTTCATATCGACTACAAACTCTGAACAGACACTTGTATTTTAGTAGAATACACAAAACAAAGCAATTATGGGAACTCTTTGGGAATCTGACAAATACTTCCGCGGCGCTGAAAGAGAAGATAACTTTTATGCAGATTTCTTTACTTTTTGATGATGTTTTTAACCTCATTATGGTGTTTTTGCCTCATTGTATTGTTTTTAGATGAGGACTCAGCAGATGAGTCCTCAGGCGCTTTCTGAGCTCACAGAATAGGAGTGGAAGCAGAGCTGGCCCAAGGTTGATCAGGGCCTTGAGGCAGAACATTATGTAGGAGGCGACTTCCTGTTAAAAACATCACCACCGTTAGCAGCGTTTCAGCACAGATTCGATGGAGAAAGAGCCGAGTTTAACTGGCTGACCTTTGCAGCAATCACTGAAAATTGGTTATAATTTGCTGAGGTGCATTTGAGGACAAACTCAAACACAAAGATTAAACTCATAGCATCAGACTGATTTTTGTGTTGCCATAGCTACAAACCGTATTAGATTATTCTTTGCACTTTGCATCACACTTACCAAGTTCTTTAAATCTTAAACTCAAAATTTAAAACCTGATGCTGAAACTTTTTTTTTTTTGACAGTTTTGTTAATATTCTCATTCTCAATGAAGAAATGGTGAAATTACAGCTCTAATGTCTGTGTTAAAATGTAAACACTTATGAGGGGCCCCCCTCTGAGTTGGTTCATTTATGTAAAATAAAGAGTTTCAGATAATAGGGGCCATGATTGTATTACCTTTATTTTTAGCATTGATTTAGGAAATCAGAAGAGATCAACTATGTGAAGGTGTGATGTGTGAACACTTCAGAGAAGTTTTATTAAACTACCAATGCAAGAGGAATCAAATTTGGAAATTATTTATGTCCAGTTACACAAGTCGGTTTATCGAAAGTTATTTTACTAATAAAAATGGGTAAAACTTTAGAGCTTTGGCTTAAATAGTGCATTGCCATTCAAATCCAGTTGCAAATTTTATTTGTAATACTTTCGCCATCTTGAAATAAGACCCTTTTCTCTCTCTCCAGAGTTTCTCAGTGAAATTTCAAAGGCCTTAGAGAAAGCATCAGCAGGCCTCAGTAACCTTTACTTCCTGTTTCTTAAGAACCGCAGCAGGAACATTTGGACTTTGTTTTATTCTTCAGTCAATCTGGTTTCAGGTGAACACACCACTTTCACTGCTTCTACAGAAGTTTGAAATTACTCTGTGGACGCTTTGAATGCCGAGATCTGATCTGATGATCGTTTTTAAAGACTTGTCAAAACCAATTTACTCTGAGGATCACGCCCTGTTACGCCACAGGCTTTCTGATGTCGGCCTCACAGACAAAGCCACCGGCGGCTTTTCAAATCATCTTTCTTGTTGTAAAACTCCCTCGCTGCTCCTGTTTTCTTAGCAATTTGAGGCAGAATGGCCTGATGCGTTTCTCCAGCTCCAACACTGATGTTGTTAGTTGTCTGGAAACAACTAACAGCTGCTCTGGTTTCTGATCATCTGCAGCTGGACTCTTTAATCCCAATAATTAAGGACCAGATGTCCTGCAATGTTTAAATGTTTCCCTGGTCCGACTCACCTGAGTCAGATGACTGAACTACCAGAACCTGCAACTATAACAGAATTTAATTGTTATTGAGATAATTCAGCTATGGAAACAGTCAAGAGCCCACTGCACTGAACCTCATTGAAAACCTCCTGGTTATTCCACCAATTATTGATTTCTGATCTCTTCCAGTGTTATTGTTTTATTTGCATCTTTTCAGTTATTTTGACCATTTCTCAATTTCTGCAAATAAATACTAAATTTTTGCTTGTAGTTCATAGAATAAAACAAAGAACAATGTTGATTTTACTCAAACATAGACCAACAAAGAATAAAATCAGAGAAATTGATTGAGTGGTTCCTAAATTTTTTCCAGAGCTGCATGTTAGACACTGACTGAACGGTTCTTCCTGTTCTAAGGTTTTATTGCTGCTGTTGTTTGTTTAAACTTTCAGTTTTCTTCTGACTCTTGAGCACATATGTGGTTCTGCATTCACCGTGATTTCATTCAAACTTATTCATGAGAAATAAAATTGTAATCACTGGAAATAAAAGCTGGAACCATAAGTTTAATTTCTGAAAGACCAAGTGTAGGGTAACTGAACCAACAAAAAATCTCTGATAGGATTACATTTAACTACATCGATCCAAGTCTTTTAAAAACAGAGAAAAACAAAATTGTACAAAAACATGTCGACCAAAAAAAAAAGAAAAGAAAAGTATGACACGTCTTTTGGGGTTCAGAAAATCCACTTTCTACGCATTTTAAAACTTGGAAGAGTGCAAAACTTAAAGTTTTTTTTTTTTTAACAACAGTCTGATACATTTGGTTTGCTGACATACGATGTGATTATATGTAAAAGCAGAATACTTCACACATAATAATACGCCATGCACAGCTTTCACTTGGCAAACACACACATCACACACTTGATTTATGCCAACAGCTGGTCCCAAACTTCACTTTAATATTCATTATCAGAAAACTGTCCTGGTTGTTTTGTTTTCTGCTTCAGCTGCACATCGGTTTCGCTGAAGCAACTGACTTTATTTTTTTCTGGCTCCAACTTCTCTCCACTACGGTGAATCAATCAATCAATCATTCAATCAATCTATCTCTCTCTCTCCTCACTTCCTTCTCTTTTGACAGCTCTCTCTCTCTCTCTCTCTCTCTCTCTCTGTCTCTCTCCCTCCCTCCCTCCCTCCTTCCCTCCCTCCTCTCTTGACAGTCCTTATCACCTCCTGCCCCAGTCCTGCTTCTGCCGCTATCACTCTTGTTGAGTGTCAGATTTCAGTGTCACTCCTTTCTGTCTCCACTCTCCAGCCTTCTTTTTTTACCCACTACCCACCAGAGAACATTTAAAGTACCTCGGTTTCTCTCCCACATTTTAACTCTTGCAGAGCCTCTGCAGTGTTTCTTTATATTCCTTCTGTAAAATGATTTTTTTTTCACTCCATTGTGGGAGAATCTCTTAACACCATGTTCTCTCAACCAAGATTAGTCACGTCATAAATTCAGGGAGGCTTTGGTTGAGTCACATCTACATCCTACAGGGATTTCCATGGGGACTGTAAATGTGGCCTGACTGACCACAATTGTGAAATTGTTTTAATAACATGTAATAAAAGTAAAACGATTGGTCCCCATCATAACCATGATATTATTAGATAATTTTTCTTCTTTAAAAGTCCTTAACTCTCACGATTAATGTTTTTTTTTTTACACATTTATTAAAACTGTCTATATGTCGTGGCAGTACAGTATGAGACAGCCTGTGAAAAACAATGAGCTCCTCTGCCTCCTCCCTGCTCAGTCAGAAAACAACCAATTAGAGCCAACACACACATGACGAGTGTCAATCACACCCGTGTACGTGCTGCAGCTGCGTTAACGGCAGAGAAGCAACTTAACGTTACAGAAAAACTGTTTATCCGTGTCATCGTCGAGGGCCGTGGTAGCTAACTAACTAGCCACAGGCTCTGCTGACGGGGGAGGAAATTTAGTGCAGGAGAGTACACAGGGGAGGGTGTGAGCAGCGCATATATGAGGATGACTGACAGCGCTAATAAGCAAGTCATTAGTACCTCAGCATTTCAAAGTCTCAGATTTTTCTCCCCCATGACTTAAATGTTGAAATTGAAATCTAAACTTGTCACGATGTAAAGTTGATGCACAACATTAACACCTTAACAGCAGATGGGTCAATTCCACTTAGTGCACATACCTGCCAGAACATTACATTTCTGTATTCAAATGTATTTTTAATGAGTGCAATGCAATATTCAAGTTTTGAGAAACTGTATTTGGAATTTCATTAGTTGATAATCAGTTAAATAAACACTTTAAAAAATGTCCAATTGTGTGTGAGTTTCACAGTTTTATTTGTCGAATTACTGAACTACATTAACATTTCCATGACACAAATACAGATAGTTGAAGTACTTACTTCAGGTCCTGAAATGGCTCTGCCCTGACATGTGAAGTCTCGACAGAATGGCTGAAAACCACTCCTTCATCCCCTGGAGAGAGGAGACAAGGGTCACAACCAAAAACCCCTTATTTTGACATCAAATGACACCAACTTCATCATAAAGTCTTTGCTCTGTGGAGGTCACGCTTTTCGGAAATGTCGTCTCATTTCGCATCTCCAGTAAAACTTGGCCCTGTGGTAATTTCAGGAGCAGTGTGAAGAAATGGAGGTCAAATCCTGGAAAGTTTATTTCAGTTAAACATTTTTTTGTTCTCCAAATCGGTGCTGATGCAGACAGGATATTTAACGAGATGCTAAAAGTAAGGGGGTAAACACGCCCCAGCTAATTTTGCTGAGATTTCATTATCCTCCTCCCAACATGCGCCTCCTCCTATTGGAAGGGAAAAAAAAAAAACAGGTTGTCTCTGATAAAATGACGTGCTTAGCCCCCTGTGTCCTACAGCCACCTCTGCAGCTGTGAACAGATGTTTGGCAGTAGCTCTTGCTGAGACGATAGATGGTATATTGAAAGCTCAGCACCGCAGCAAATTTAATACTGCATGAGGCAAAGTCAGCGGCGGGCCCGCGGATAACGAGACGACCGAGTCGCTGTTCAAAACCGGAGCGGGTGGCGTTCCTTTGTGGGAAATTCTGAGAATCAGAACTCGGGTTTTCTGCAAACTATGAATATTAGTGTGGGCTTTATATCGTTTGAGCTCCGCACAATGCAGCTCATCTTGCCAACAGGAATCTGGCATTTGTTTCCAAGCTCGCTTTGGGGATTTTGTCGCCTCTCTCTTGTTTACATGAAATGTTGATGAGCTGCTCGTCACCGTCGGCTTGGCGGCACCTTTCCTCGTCCAGAATACCCAGGGTGTGTTTTCAAAGCGCAGCCGGTGACCCGAAACTGGCAAGCCAGCTGGTTTCGCTCCGACAGAACCGTGTAGTAATGTCACTCTTTTTTTAAACTTTAAAAACACCAGCACACGCAAACAGCGACACGGTGAGCCTGCGCTTAGAGGTTTATGTGGCTCTTTTGGACGGTGTGTCATTCTCTTCCCTCCGCCACCCAGGAAAGGACGAAAGCAATCACCTCCAGCCCTAAACCTCTTTGCCCTCATTCTTTTAGAGTGACTCTAATGGACAAATCTCCCAAATTGCCTTCAGCACTATGTGAGTCTGTGGGAGTGGATTTAGCACAAGTTCACCTTCAGACTTCCATTGATGGGCTTCGTGTGAAGACATATTTTGAATACCCATCACTGAGATCATAACCAAAATGAGTTCAGAGTGATCATTGAAGGTTTCTCTACTTGTTATTCACTGTCCAACACGAGCGTTTACTTTATGACAAATGTAAACGTGGGAGATTAGCGTATTTCTTCCGAACACATGTTGAGTTTAGTCACGACTTTGTGTGACTCGCAGTGTGCCAGAGTTATTTTTTCAGAAAACATTCAAAAACAAACTCTTGGAAAGTTGGGGAAAAAAGTGTATAGACAGGAAACGTCTACAATTTAAGTGTTCAAGTGTTTGACTGGAAACAGTTTCAATCGTTGAAAATCAAACGAAAATGAGCTACTGGAGGATTTCATAATTCGGTGCAGAGAAGAAGAGTTTTGTGATTGAACATAAATACTTTCTGAGAAACTTCAGTGGTTTGATTTAAGTCTCCAAAAACAAAACAAGAACAAATGACAGTCAGTGCTGCCTTGAGTACGTGAGCGCTCCTTTCAGAAAGACAATAAATTGGTGCAGAAACCCAGAAAACAATCATGTTTGTGGTAAAATAATGAAACGGGAAAAAAAAAAAAATCTGATGGGATGCTGGAGAAGATAAGCGTGTGCAAGTTACATGAATAATTAGGAGTTCCTGGTTTGCACCAGTACTTTGCACCATTTCTTATACAACAACAGATTAAAAACAATCTGTATGTTTATTGTTGGGCTCGCATATTTTTATATTTAATGTTTTTGCAGCAAAAGAGGCGTTTTCAATTGAGAATGTTGCTTATTTTTGTCAACATATTGTTTTTGTTGGAAATTTGCAATTAACTCGATCAAAAACGTTAACAGAGTCCCACCGCCAACATTATCCTGTTGGTAACATGGCTACGCTCCACAAGAAGAAAACAATGCGAACGTGTAAACAACTGTGTCACAATCTACACTTCACCTGTGACTTTAAGTTTCTCTGTTCCGATGCTGATCTCTTCCTCGTCTGCAGAAAACAGAACTCTCTCGCCGTCAGCGCTCTTCACTTCGAACCTCTGACACTGGGCCTCAACCATTTCCGAACCTGAAGTAAAAGAAGAAAAATAAACTGTGTTCAATTTAAAACATACCGCAAGAGCAGAAGGGGAAACTCGTGAAATAAAAAAAAAAAAACAACTAACAAATGAGTGGATGATTTCGTTACCCAGCTCCCTTCACAGCATCGTTAAGTCTTGTGTGTTTCAAATTGAAGAACTACAAGATGCTCCAAACCAGAGCGATTCTGACTTTGTTCATGCTTTTTTTTTTTTTTCTCAAGAATGTAGCTGAGCAGCTTTTGCAATGCAAGCTGCCATGAGATGCAGTCAGAAACAAATCTTTAAAAACAAAATGTCCCAGTTAAGGAGAAAACATTCGGTGCTTGTCTCACAACTTTTTACCAAAGGACACAAAAAAAGCTTTTATGAAAAATTCCCTTAAATACAGTGAAAAATATTACGACTTCCTCAGACTGTAAAGTTTAACGGCGCTGCCTGTACCGACCTCATCCATACAGCTGAATACATATTACACAAACGAGGCGCTTTTAAAATTATTTTTAAGGTTGAAAATCGTCTGGAATTAAGATTTTTAAGTTTTATTACAACCTCAAAAAAAAAAAAAAAAAAGAATTGTTCTAATTCACCATTAGACTAACTCAAAATATGAAAATGTTTAATAAGCTTTCACAATAACGACCTAAAGTAACTGATCAATTTAGGATTTATGAGTGCAAATATTAGATTAATAAACTGTTCTTTCAAAAAAAATAAGTGAAGTTTTTTAATTATTGCCTTTTTTCCTCCTTCGTTTATAGGACTTTGTCTGCTTACCAATCAGAATCCTTCACTGTGTAACAGCAGTGTTTAATTTTGTTTAACCTCATCCGGACCGTAAATTTCAGTCAACATCAGCAAACACGGCTGAGCGTCTGGTGATGCATGTTAATGTGCATTTGGCAGGTTTGGGTCGGTGTGTTGGGATGAATGACTGATTGGACCCGACTGCACCGCACAAATGAAGGTTTTCACATTAGCTTTTATTTAATAATTCCTGTTGTAAAAGACAAAACGTTGATACCATAAAACAGAGTTTCTCCAGCAGTTCTTTGTGTTTTAAAAGTCTCCCTGCTCCAGCACAACTGATTCAAATGATTTCATTACCTTCTCTCCGTGCCAAATTGTGCTGCAAAAGTTAATCACCCTTTCATTTAGGTCGGTGTGTGACAGCAGGGAAACGCCTGAAAATGTGTTACTTACACAGAAGCACCAGTCAAAAAAAATGTCCAATTAATTGTCTGTTTGAGAGACAACATAGAAAAGGCTTGAATAGCACTGCTAGTATATAGCCTCTTGCTAACTGTTAGCTTAAGTAGCTACAAGCTACCACAAGTGGCTGTTATTCACAGTTATTACTTAAAATAAGCAGAAACAGAAGTTGGGGTACAACATGGAGGAAAGGTCCTGAGGTCGATAGGTCAAACTTCAGAAAGCTGTGACAAAGACATCATATGTAGCGTCTCCTCTACAAGCTAGCCTAAAGTTAGCATCCGTTTTAGAGCTTCATACCAGGCTAAGCTCAAGGGGTTTAGCTTATTTTAAGTCCAAGTTTTAAGCCCGGACAATTCCAATGCAAAATATAAAGTACTTAATCTGATACTGGATTACGATACACACAACGTAGATGCTGAAAACAGTTTGAAATTGGTGACAACACAAAACTGCAGCTGTACGAGCGCCTTTGATTAAACGATCCTGTAAAAACTAGACCTGGATAGACTCTTCTGCAGCCACGCTTCTCAAACTGTGTCACCAGCACCACCGGTTGAACCGCCTTCTGTGTGTCAAAAACCTCCAAAGCAAATAAAAACAAATAACCTGTGATGAGGAGCATAACAGCTCATCTCTAACAGGATGAGATGTTAGGGAATAATAAACTTTGCTTCATGAATAACTTGTTATATGAACAGTTGAATAGAGTAGTTAACTAACCTAAAATGCATATTTTCAGACTGTCAGAGAAAGTTATGGTAGCCAGAGAGAATCCATCCATGCAGAAAGACTCCAGGTTGGGATTTGAACGCAGGACCTTCCTACACGGCGAAGGGTTCTTAGTTTTAGGGAAAAATAAATCTATTTACCCAAAAATGTGTTTCATGTTGCAGGTTTTGTGTCATTAAAACTCTGACTTGCAAGCTGGTGTGAAACGTTCCCAACCAAATTCCAAATTGGCAAATTATGTATAGACCATGCTTTTAATTTAATTTATCTGTATTTTATATTTTTATGAATTACACAAGAACGTTTTATTACTGCATTACAGATGAACCTATAAAACCCCCCCCCCCATCTCTTTGGCTGTCGCATTAATTCCCCTTTACCATCTGGGTTTTCAAGCTATAACTCAAACGTCTTCCTTAAAAGGCTGGAACATCTTTTGAGTCACAATCAAACTTTATTGGCTGATATCTGGAATTAAGCTTTTTTTCCTCCCTCATCTTTCTCCATCACTGTCTCTTTTATGTCCCTCTACATTGTTTAGACTCTCACTACACAAAATGTAATTGTGCCTTGCTTAACCGAAAGCCTATTGTGTGTTTATGTGCGAGTCTGAGTGAGCGACAGAATTTGGAGTTGCATGGAAGAAATCAGTAAAGGAGAGAAAAAGGATTCAGGATGAAGAGGAACAAAAAGTGAAGCATGTTTAAAAGAGAGATTCTGTCTCAGGTATCTAGCACAGTTTTGCTGGTTAGTTTTTGTCCTGAAATCCAGCTCATAGAGCAGATTCTTTTTTTTTCTTTGGATGGATGCAGGTCAGCATATTTAAAAATACTTGTCTGATTCAGGAAATGGTGTCTTTTGCTTCCTCCATGGCTGTGGGGTGTTTGAAAAGATACTTAGATGAGGAAGATACTGAAACACCAAGAGAAAAAAAGAGAGAGAAGCTGCTACACCTGCACATTTACAGATACTGTGGATCTCAAAAAGTGTATGAGCACCTGTTAAAATTTCAGGTTGATAAAAAGCTTAACCAGAGTAAGCAAATGTATGAAGTAAGATAAGAAATTGTTGGAAATTTTCATTTATGCCCATAAACATGATAATGGTATTTAATGAACTAAAAAATAAAATAAAAAAACAACTTAATTTGTCACCTAATTTATCAAAGTTTTCAATTCTGAGATTGTGAAAACATGAAAAGGGAGCAATTGTCAAATCTGGACAGGAATATTTCATGCACAGAACAAACTCTTTAAAACAGTCTGTGATTTTTTATTTGATCTATTACAACACTGGGCATTCGTCGTTCCAAAAACGTCTGATTAAGCTTTATTAAACTCAATATAATGTTTTGTCCTTTTCCATTAGCTGTATGCTGTTAAATGCCTACTGTTCATGTTTTGCTAAACCAACAGCTGGCCGGCCTTTCACATCAAACAATCAGGGATGCAGAGTGCTGGTGAGACATCAGACCACTGAAAGAGCATCTCCAGTCTTTTAGTCTATGGTGCATCTTTTCAAAAAGAGATGTATTAAACTAGTCCAATCAGACATTATTATTTTAAAAATATCTCAGCAATAACTCTGTCCATTCTGTATGTACCAAAAATAAAGCAAAAAACTTTTAAAACAAAGTTGTACTTAACCTCAAGAAGTCAGTCCACCATTTCTTGCCTTGAAATAAACAAAACGTGGAAAAAAATAACAACAACAACCCACAACTATCTGAACTGTTAATAATTTAATGTTTACTGGAAGTAGAAAAAGGCCGGGATGTACAGGCCGGTGGCAGACACACTGTCAGACATCAAGGTGTGTGTGAGGAGTCATCATATTCAGGGCGGTGTAGCGGCGTGAGCGCGAATGAGGGCACAGCCAGTCGTTCTCGTGTTGGTGATCGACTGAGGAGCGGCGCTTTAAAAAGCCACAGATGAGACGTGACGCATAACTTATGTGACTTCTGACTGGAGCGACGTGACATGCAGTGAAACGATAGCCGAGAGCCGGAGAGGAGGGAGCTTCTTCTTTTTTTTTCTTTATTTTGACAACTGCACAAACTTTAAGCTTACAGTTATCTGACTGGTTTGAGTGAAAGCCAAGGCTAAATGTGTAAACAGGCAGAGCTTGAGGCAGGAAAAGGAGGAAATACACTGAGGCAAACCAAAAGGGGGGGGGGGGGGAAAAAAGCAGGGGGGAAAAATTTGATTCACAAATAATATTAAATATTGTTTATGATTTTCAATGCTTAAAATGTATAGCTTATGACTTGCATGCCTTTCTTTCAATTTATTTTCCCCTGACTTCATTTGGCACTGTACTGGGAGATTATGCAAGAGCCGTGTCTATGAATTTAATTCTTAAATAAGGTAACCTGAGGAAAGGAAAGGACGGGTAGTAAACACAAAGCCATTTAAAACTCTTCGTAATGTGCCAGCAGCCACAACATTTGGAGAAAGTGGCCGCGGGTTATTTGTTTTAAATGATTGTTTGGAGAACTGGCAGAGAGCCGTGTGACACCTAGCTGGGAAAAAAAACAAAAACTTCTGAGTATTTATTTCTATATTCAAAAGAAAGAAAAACTGGTACTTTATTTGAAGGGGTGTGCATAAGATTGACATGGCACCATCATAAATATGACATAATAACACCCGTTATGAACATGAAGGAGTCTTTATGAATGTTTATGATTGTTGTCATGCAGTGTCATTTGGTAAATAATGACACTTTTAATGCAAATTTGGCACTTTTAATTGAGTTTTAGTGCAACTTTTAAAGCAACTTTGCATTAAAAGTGTCATTATTTACCAAATGACACTTCATAACACCAGTCATAAAGATTCATAAAGACTCTTTCATGTTCATAACATCTATGTCACATCATTTATGACGATGTTTTTTTTTGTTTTTTTTTATCCACAAGAAATAACGTGTGCTTACATTTTATTATATTTGTTCTACGGAGGAAGAAAGGGTTCGAGTGTCTGCCGTTGTTTTAACTCTGGTTAAAACAACATCAGGTTTCACTCAGCAAAACACATCAAATGAC